ATTCAGAGCCTTAATTTTTTAATTACAAATATAACAATTAATCGATTAGGTACTAATTTTAGGTCATTTTAAATGCTTTTTCTTCCCCTTGCGTAATTGTAGACACTTATTTTTGTCCGAATTTGGGTTTTGTATTTTTATTTATTATAGGCATATATATATAGTAATATAGAATAATTTTTGAAAGTGTTTTTGAAAAATATAACATATAATTTTCAAAAAATGGTTTCCGAAAATATATATATTATATAGTTTTTGAAAACGTTTTTGAAAACTTATATACAATATATAAGTTTTAAAACATTTTGAAAATTATATAACATATATTTTTGTAATCATTTTGAAAATATAATGTATAGTTTTTAAAAAACATTTTTGAAAAATTTATATAATATATAGTTTAAAAAAACATTTTGGAAAACGTATATAATATTTTTAAAATTATTTTTGAAAACTATATGATATATAGTTTTGAAAACGTTTTTAAATATAATATATAGTTTGAAAAATATTTTTTTGGAAATATATATTATATAGTCTATATTATTATTAATATTTATTATTATTATTTCTTTTCATTTTATTCATTTAATTACTTTAATTTAATTTCCTTTATTCTATTTTGTGGTCTAGGTCTAGGATTGGGTCTAAGAGAAGTCCATTGCTCGGGTCTAATAGGTTTGGGGCCTGAACTAGTCTAAACCCTAAAATTAGGGTTTACACATCCAAGCAGACAAGCGCCGCATAATCCAGGATATCAAGAATCAGTTCCAAAACGGTCAGCCGGTCCTAGGACTGACCCATCCCGGGATGGCCGAGATCACAAACGACGTGCACGAAAATGGTGGAACAACCACAGCCCACGAATCCCCCTATCTCGAAGTAACAACAACCAACACCGGGGCTATAAAAAGTCCCCGACGAGGCCAACAGGGGGAAAAAAAGCCATAGCCACAAAATACCGAGACCATCATACCACCATCGAGTAAACACAAACCATCAAACCAGTCCATCACAACAAGATAATAGTCAGAGAACCAACATCAACACACAACAGAAAGATACCATCATACCAACATAAAAAAAGATCGAACAGCCGAGACAAAAACTAGAGAAAAACAGTAAACACAAGGAGTCAAGCCCCAAGTAAACTAGCAACATAAACGCAAAAAAACACTCGGAGAAGGAGGCCTTGGAGATTCGGAGAGCCACTCGGAAAAGGTTAGAAAATCAAATGGTTTGTCTCAGATCTACGTTGTTTGGAGCTTTTTTAGGGGAATCGGGCTTCGATTTCGTGTTTGGGGGGGTAGAGGAGAGCATTTGGTGAGGCTTTGGGTCTTTGGGATGTTGAGAGAGTTGGGAGAGGCTTGGAGAATGATATCTGAGTAAATGGCAAGAGTGAAGGGAGAAGAGAGGATTTTTGGTTATTTATATACCAATGACCATCCTACAAATACAAGATTATTAAATTCCTTCCGTCGTCCCTGACATTTTGAGTCGCAATTCAATTTGGTCACCATATATAAATTTGCCTCCATATTTCCAATTTTATCAATTTACTCCTTGTTTATTATTTTACTCATTTATTTATTTATTTTTATTATTATTACAAATTTTCTTTTTTTTCAATAGTTAACCTTTTTTCTTTTCATTTGTAATTTAATGTAATTTAATTATTTTTTGTGTTATTTTATTTTATTTTTTATTTCTTATTTTTATTCTTATTTACTTTTTTTTTGTTAACTAACTTTGTTATTATTATTTTTATTTTCCCTAAACACTAGTTTTTTTTTTGTTTTTCAACGTTAACTTTTTCCTTTTTATTTGTTTTCAACCTTTTTGACCTTTTTTAATTTTAAATAAAAAATTATTATCATTTTTTTATTTTCCTTAAGTGTTAACCTTTTCTTTTTCCTTTTTTTCAAACTTTTTGACCCTATATTTTACTTTTGAATAAAAAAATATTTTTCCCTAAATGTATTTCTTTTCCTTTTTTTAATTTTTCTTTCCTTTTTTTATTTATTTGAAATTTAACATTTTTTACCTTTTTTATTTATTTCATTTTTTTACTTCTTTGATTTATTTTTTATTTTTTTATTTTAATTATTTATTTTGGTTCATTTTTTATATTTTTTTCTATTATATTTTTTCTATTTTTCTATTTTTTTATATTTTTACCTTTTGTTTTTATTTATTTATTTTTCTATCTAACATCGTTTCTGACTTTTCTAGTAGTAATCTCGATCGATCAAAGGTAAGTAATTTGAATTGCATTTTTAAATTTAAATTTTTTCAAATTAAGACAACCGACAAATTAATTGGTACCGAAAGGGCGGTTCAAGGGTGCTAATCTTTCATTGACCGTAACCGACTCCCGAACCCGATATATTTATGGTGAAACGCAGATCAGGTAAGATGGTGTCCGACCCACCTAAATTCGTTTTAAAATGGTCGGTGGCGACTCTAACCCAATTTTCTTAAGTCGAAGCCCAAATCCGAGCCTAACCGAAGGACGGTTCCGACAGTAATCTATTCTCAAATTTACTTTTTTGTTACGTAGACCCAATAGTTGTTTTAATAATATTTAAAATTAATTTTTATTAAAAAAAATATTTCATGTGATCTAATTACACCCTAAACAAAATATTGATGTGACTCTTAAAATAAATAAATTTAATCAAAACGATCCTAAAACTATTTTTTTTTATTTTTCGAAACGTTATAACAAGAGTTCAATATATTTTTAAATTATATTTTTCAAAATAAAAAATAAATTTTATAATTAATGTTGTTATCTTTTTTTCTTCATCCTAAGATTAGTATAATAAACAGCATAAATATCGTTAATTTTTTATTTTTCGTATAACGATTGGTATAAGAATTATTAATTTATTAATCTAAATTAGGTATTAGAAAAATTCATTATAGAGTCAATCTTGTCAATCTTATTTCCTCTACTTATAAGGATAGGATTCACATCTAAACGTTCTTTAAGGACCTGACATTTCATTTCACTATATCAACCCTAATGAGTTAGAATTATTAATTTTCTATAAAATGTGATAATAATACAATTTTAAAAATTATATATTAATTTATAAATCAATATCCAAAATGTATAATTAAATTATAAAAAATAAATTTAATAATATATAACAAATCCAATAATTTGTTAATAGTAAGTGTGATTATAATATAATATATATTCATAATTTTTTTAGTCTTGACAATAAACACATATTTTGTAAACACAATTATTTAAACCTAGATATTTCAAAAGAATAAAATATAATAAAATTTTGTATTTAAAATTTATGATTATTCTTTTTAATATTTTTAATTATATTGTTTTATGATAATTTATATATAAATTTTAATTTTATATTTTTAAAATTTAAAATTTTATTTTTTATAATATTTATTTAATTCAATTTTATAAAAAAAATTAGAGATAAGAAAGTCAGGTGTATATAAAATAAAGTTTTGTGCAAGATTAATGGGTTCAGTATTATATAAATAAAATCACGTTAAATTCTAGGTAAAAAATAATATAGTTTTTTTATTTTTTTTAATAATCTAATTTTTATTTTTTCTATTTATAGATTTAATATTTTAAACATTCTTATATTTCAAAATTATAATATTTTTATTTTTTCTAATAAATAAATAGCCCTTGAATTTTTTTTAAATCCAATTTTGCCCTCAAACTTAACTAAAAAAATTAATTTAGCTCATTTGCCATTTCACCAGCTACCGTCTATCATCATGTTAGCATCATGACTAACATATTAGCATCGTAAAATATCACATCGGTATTGTAATGGTCAACAATAAAAATCGTTGACCAAAGGCTCATATTGATTTTTTTCCCATTTTAGTTTGAGGGTCATATTGTGTATAAAAATAGTTTGAGGGCCACATTAGTTTTTTTTTAATATAAGGGCCTTAAAAAATATAAAAATCACATTCAGTGTAAAAATTATACGAAAACCACAAAAACCCAGTGTTTTCACTTTTTCTATGTGTCCCTTGGTTTTTCTTTCTTTTTGTTGGTTTGCGACGACATCAACCTTAGAGTTGATTGTTGATTATCAATATTATTTGTTTTTCATCTATTTTTTTATATCACATCTTTATTCTTTTTTTTTTAATTTTTTGTAACTTTATTTTAATGACACAATTTTCTCTGTCATTACGGAACGATTTCCTCTACCTTTTGGTACGTTTTCAGTCTTTTTTATCGGTCGTTTGGTGTTTTTTAATTATTTTTTTAAAGTTAGATTTGACATCGGTTCGTCTGATCAATATGATGTTTATTTATTATCTCGTTGATTTGCCCTATTTTGGGCCCTAAAATAAATTTGGATGTGCGTTTTGTGTTCGGAGATAATTTTCTCACAGCACTCGACTCTGATTCACGATTGTCGGTAGTCTTCATTTGCAAGATTACTCGTGATTTGTTTATTGATGTAGTCAGATATATTAACATCTTTATTTGTTTGAATTCTTCGGATGAGTTTATAATTTTTTCTTTGTATGGTCCCTAAACGATCTTAAATGACTAGTTTCATGATAATGTTTATAAGAAATATCTTATTATGTGTTTAGTTTATACTTATAATTGTGGATTTTCATTATAATTTTAAAATTTTCTTTTTGAATAAAACTAACTATATATATTTGCGTAAAAAATCTAATTAAAATAATGTATTAAAATTTTGTAATTATTCTTTTAATAATATTATCATTGAACCACCATTCATGATTGTCCTTATTTATTTATAAAAGTGGTCTCTACAACTCATAATTATAATTTAAACTTTGAAACCTATACATAAAAGGAACTAACCAACGTGTCCGTACTACTTATGGCAATTTTTTTCCAATTACTAAAAGATTTATTACATTTATGTCACCCTCAATGATATAATTTGTTATCAGTTAAAATTCCAAACCAAACAAATGGAATCCTCCATAAATAGAACTCCCCATCCTGCCCTTTACCTGACTACCTGCAATTACTCTCTATTTTTCCTCCCATTTTCCTTCACTTTCTACCCAACCAAACACCCACAGCGACCATTCCAATACTTCGTTTCAAAAAAAAAAAATACAAGAAATGGGTATCGAAAACAGTGACTGTGTGAATCTCGTTTTCACGTACGGCACCTTGAAACGCGGCTTCTCCAATCACGTGCTCCTCCAAGATCTGATGCGAACCGGCGACGCCGTTTTCAAAGGCTCGTATCGTACCCTGGAGAAATACCCGCTCGTTTGCGGGCCTTATCGAGTCCCTTTCCTCCTCAACATGTCCGGGTCGGGTCAATTTGTGATGGGCGAGCTGTACGCCGTGTCGGCCCGGGGACTTGCTCGCGTCGACGAGTTGGAAGGCACGAGTCGAGGGCATTACGAGCGGAGGCCCATCCGGCTGACGCCGGCCGGAAACAAAGAGAAGGGAGGGGAAGAGTTGTTAGGGTGCAGCGGGGAGCTAACGTGCGCGACGGAGGCGTATTACGCGCACGAGAGCTACGAGGAAGAGATGTGGAACAAGAACGGGAGAAAAGGGTTTGAGATGTATTCGAAGAAGGAAGCCGAAGGTTATGTGAAGCGTAAAGATAGGCCTCAAAATCTCAGTTTCTTGGACCATATTAGGATTTTCGTTTCTTCTCCTTCTGATTAATTTCACGGACAAAATAAACTTTGAGAGAATTTGGATGCTTTGATGCTTGCAATTTGTTATGAACTTATTCTCGGGTGTTTTCTTTCTTCAATTCTAATTTCCAATATGTAAGAAATTCCACTGAGAAACCAGATTCATTTCTCAAGATTGTTGCCAAATTTCTTTCATGTATAAATTCTTGAATTTGGCAATTGGAGTTAGTTTTTTCATGCTGAAAATTAATGTAATATTTTTTTGGGTAGTTTACTTCCTTGTATGATAATATTTATGATGTTCTAGTTTTTTCGCACACTTACTAAGATTTAAGTTCAAGATCATGAACTGTGACGTGCTGTTTTTTTCTCACGAAGACCAATAAAAAGATCAAAGTCTATACAACTCATGACTCGGTGTTAAAGATTAGGAGTTATGCGTGTAAATTTTGTTTGTTGAAATCCCAGTTTTGTTGAGATTCTGGTTGGGGGAAATGTTTGCAAGGATGATCAGCGGTGTTGTGAAAGGGCAAAAAAGATTCATATCGACTGGACTACCAGTGTCGCTCTTAGAGTAAATGGTTTTGAGGAATAATTAGTTTGAGAGATTCATCGTGATTGATTCTTTTTTGATGGGTATCTATATTTATTAATAATTATTGGTGGAATAAATACGATTAAGTCGATTGATGACAATTTACCCCTTTTAACCTAAGCGGAGAATTGTAACCAATATTTCAGTGTTGATTGATTATTAAAAGAATTGGTTGTAAAATATCGGAGTGAGCCTCTTCTTCACCCTTATGAGAGTTTATACATTGTTCTCTAGTTATTTAATTAGTGTCGGTTTTAGACGTAGGACTATAATAGTTATTCATAGATGTACATGATCTGTAGGCCTAGTCAATGTGATAGATTTCAAGTGATTTCAATCCTAGCAAATCATATGAATCTACTAGGGATCATATAAGCCAGTCCTTATTTTTTAAGAGTTAGGTGGCGTTTGGTTCGCTGGGATGTTTATGAGGGAGTTGAAATATGTGAATGAATTGGAATCTGTCAGGAATTGGAATCCAATTCCAAATTCTATTTGGTTGGCAGGAAATAAAATTAAAATCCAATTTCATATTCTGTTTGGTTCGCAGACATGTCAAAAGAATTTGATTTCAGTAATGTAAAATGACAGAATTGCCCTTCTTATTTTTTTGCTTTATTTTAGTTTGTTTTACAACTTACATGTAGTAATATATTATAAAAAAATTAAAAAATATTAATTTTTCATTTTATTGATTAATTATTCATTTCAATAAATTATAAAAATCATGCTAATAAACATCATAAGTTAAAATCATCGCAATCAAAATATGTTAATAAGTTACCAAAAGATAGAGCAATATTTAGATATATTCCAATCGGAGTATGTTAATTAGTTACCAAAAAATATACCAAAAACTATTTTTATTCAATATATGAATTAGAAACCCAACCCGACACAACACAAAATAATAAAAAAAATATTTTTATTCAATAAAAGCATTGACTTAATTGAAAAAAATTATATATAGAGGAGTATTATTGTAATTATTCCTAAATATATAAGGTAAAATTATATATTTTTTTGGGTCGGGAATTTTTCACCCTAAATCCGAACTCGACCCGACCCGAATATCACACTTAAAAAAACCGACCCGACCCGAATATATGAATTAGAAACCCGACCCGACCCGAAATAATAAAAAAATATTTTTATTTAATATATGAATAAGTTACCAAAATATTGATGAGGGTAGTATGGTCAAATTTCAATTCTCTCTAACAAAGGAATTGAATTCCATCCATTCTTGGATGAATTCACTTTCCCTCATTTGATAGAAAGTTGAAGCCGTGAGGGATTCCAATTCACTTGAAAAACTTGAACCAAACATTAAAAAGTGTTGGAATTGAATTTCAATTCCCCAATTTCAAAAGATTATATCCAACCAAACGCCAGGTCTTCGATATTCTTCCTCTAAATAGACTTTTTATATCCTCCAAAATTATAGGACGTCATAAATTTGAAAATGCTTTAGAGTTCTCTAGTAGTTGTGAAATACGAGGATTTTTAACGAGGTACAACGAACTTAAATTTATAAAATATAATAAATATATTTTTTAAATGTGTTATTTTTATATTTTTTTCCAAATCTATAAATAAAACTATTAAAACTCATTAGTTGATATTTAAAAGTGTGACCGAATGCTTTTGAACACAAACCTTTTACCATTCCACCTATAATCATTTAATAATTTAATTTCTAGAAATATAATTTTTTTACTTATAATATTTATTTATTTTTATTAATGCATGTCTGCATATTATTTAATTTCTTGATTAAATTTGGTGTCACCGACTAAACGTTTATCAACTCAGTTGGATAATTAAAAGTTTACCCCTATTTACGAAGTACAATAAATATTATTGTAAGGATATTGTTATCTTTTTACACTTCACAAACTCTTTTAATAAAACTACTAAAACTAATTACTTAAAATTCAAATTTATAATCAAAAATTTTTATACATAAGACTTTTATCATTAGAGGAGTCTTCAAATCATGTAACGCACCGTAATACATTATTAAAGTGACACACTAAAATAAATCATTAATTAAATTATCTTTATTAAGTAAAATATTAAAAAAATATAAGGATCACTCCATGATTAATTCATTTTAAAAATTTAGTTGATTTTTTATTTCCACGTCATCTTTCTCTTTCTCTGTCGGTGTTTTAATTAATTTTATTTAACCAATTAGATAGTGACACATCACCACCTATAAGTATAAAATAAAAGAAATAATTTTTGTTACTATTAGTTATTGAAGCTAAGTCTTTCGCATAAGATGCAAAACACTCAACCATTAAGTAAGGCTAAACATTTCAATTAATTTCACCACATTTTGTATTTAATGTATACAACGATATCACCATAAAATCAATATTTTTCAATGATTATAAGATTCAAATATTAGACACTTTAAATTAATGATCTAAAGCTTAGCCACTCAATTATACTACGGACCTCTTTTTATTATATTGATTTTAATACTTACCTATATCATTATTAAATTAAAAAATAAATTTTCACTTTCTTTTAAAATAAAAAAATTAAATACTTATTATATATTTTTATAAAATTTTATATTAAATCATTCTAAAAATATATTTATAATATTATAAAAATATTTTAAAATATATATTTAATTTTTTTAAATCATATTATTTATTTACTATATGTGTAAAAGATATAACGTCTCAGTATTGTTATTATGTCAAACGACACTTGAATGGGGTAATTCTCAGACAAGTCAACCTTCCATACTTGGCATGTTCCTTAGATGAACCAGTTATAAGCCATGTCATACTTGACAAGAGTCATTCCCTTATTTCAGTAGCCAATCGTATAGAAACTTATCCAAATAGACAAGTCATATATTAGTCCACAAGCCACAATATAATCTCAAAGCTACAAGTACCCTTGGAAGGGAGATCCACGATGAATAACAAATATTAGTGTGTAGCCCCATTCCTCAACCAAGAGCATGATATGAGACCCATAGATCCCAACCACATGCAGGGACGAAACTCCCTTAGGGCCCAAGGGGCCCCGACCCCTATTAAAATTTGTATATTCGATATAATTTTGGTTTAATAGTATTTTAGTTCATGTAAAAATAAATATTTAAATTTAAAAAATATAAATATTTATTAAATATTTAATCAAGTAGTGGTCAAACTAAAGAATGATAAGTACGTGTTCTCAAATTTTTAGTCTGATTACAATTTAGGTCATTGTAAGTTTAAATATTAGACAAATTAGAAGTTTTCTTGTGAATTTTGAGTTTTTTTATTATAAATTTAAGGTGAATACAATGTAGTATATGTACAAATACTTTCAACTAGTTGACAATGAACACTCATACCCCTACATACGCAGTGCTTGAACTCGGGACCTTGAGGATAACATCAATCCCCTTAACCATTAAGGTCGCTTGTTCATGCTAAATTTCGAGTTTAAATACCTAATAAGTCTTTATATTTTTCTTAAATAGTTTAATATTTTGGCCTCTGTCAATATTTAATTTTGGCTCCGTCCCTACCTACATGAGCCTAGGAGAAGGTCACTTACACCATGATAGCTCCACATGCTTGTTTAGGGTGAGGGGATGGTGGAATAAATAAATAATATGATTTTAAAAATTAAATAAATATTTTTGTTATAATATAAATAGAACTTTTAGGATTATTTAATATAAATTTTATAAAAATATATACTATTCACACACACATATATGTCTAACAAAACAACTTTTGAAGGTTTTAAATTTATGAAATTTTACTCAATTTTGTTTTGATAGAAAAAAAAAACAAAATACCAATGACACTAAAAAACAAAAGAAAGAAACTTGAAATGTTGGAGTGTGAGCTCATTTTCCCATTCCTTAAAGCAACAAGCTCTAGGAGTTCCGGACTTTTATTAATGCGTAAATGACATGAATATACTTTTAAAAAAATCGAAAAAAGACTTGCGTACCGTAGATAGTTTCAACAATTGGATTTTGTGAGAGCATTAGATGGACCACTTTGTTGGCAAGTTTTGTACAAGTTAGAAAGTGCAATAATATCAAATTGTTTGCTAAAATATGAATGTTGATGAAACAAGCAACTTTGCATAATTCAAGTTACCTTTTATTGGAAACTTGGAAAGATTTTTGGCTTCAATTCGGCAATATAAGAAAAGCATATAACAAAAACAAAATAAAGGAATGAAATAGAAAACCTCTTAAAAAAAAGAAACTAAGGGCCGTTTGTTTCATGGTCTTTGAAAGATATTATGTAAATTATTTACCACTAATTAATAAATTGTGTAAAATTATCATAGAGTTATGAGAATAATCAAAATGTTAGCTTGTCCAAGCCAAAGAGTCGAGCTACTTACAAAAAGTACATGAATAACAATATTAATATCAAACTTCTCACATGTTTCCACCATATGATTTACTGAACTTTCTCTAAAAGAGAGAAAAACCCTAAAATTTTAGTTTTTTCCTTTAATTCAGAATTTTTTGATGAATTAATTTTTAAAAATATGGTGAAGTAAAAAAATGGTCCCTTAACTATTAAAAGTTACAAAATGATCCTCAAGTCATAGAATGTAGCTTTGTTAAGTCCTTCGATTATTAAAAGTTACAAAATGGTCACCCGACTATTCGTTATGTCCCAAACTT